GGATAGTATGCACATTTGTGTCTGGCCTCCCACAAAGTTAGATGGCTTTTTAGAGCATCGTCCAGAATAAAGACTATGACCTTGGAGCAACTTCTAACCCAGACAAGGACCACTATGACTGATAACCAAAAACCCCGACAATCAGTTGCCACATCCATTCAACTAACATGCGCTGATACATCTCCTTCTGTAATGCACAAGAATGGCATAATTTGTTTTAAGTGCTCTGGTCTCAACCACCTTGCTAAGGACTGTAAACAAAGACAATGGGAGGGAACAGATAACCAGGTGTGCACATCGCACCATGAAATATATTGCTTTCATTGCAACAAGGTCAAGAGCCAGGGAAACAATTCAAGGGAGGAGTAAACAATGCACTACCAGTCATCAAAGTGCTCATAGATGAACAGAAATGCATAGCTCTTGTAGAATCTGGCTGCTCACAGACACTAGTGAGCAGATCTGTATGCTGCCTTTGGTAATGTTAGAAGGTGAAGGTGCTGACAGCCGATGAGAAATCATTGAAGTGTCATGGGTATGACACAGTTAAATTGGATGTTTGCTGTGCTTGCCCTGTGAACATTGAAGTCCTAGTTGTGGATAGAATATTGCTAGGATTTGATCTGCTTTTGCATCACTAAATTGGGAGAAGTCCACTTCCCTGAGGAAGACATACCCCACGTGCTGCCATTTCCATCAACAAACCTGACTGTGCCATTCGACCATCAGAAGGTGGTTTGGACTGCCTCATAGAAATGGGCCAGTGGTCAAATGCTCAAAAGATTGAAAAACAGTCTGCTAGAATACACCATTCTATCTGGAATGAATATGACAAAGAACTGCAGCTGTGGTTAGACAATGAATGGATGCTGCCATATCCTGAAAGTGAGCTTGGTCCACCCAAGGGCCTGATTCCATTAATGGCAGGGGTTCAAGAGAACAAACAGAAGGCTCAGCCAGTGCTTGATTACAGGGTATTGAAGCATTCACTACTGACATGGATGTGTGTGCCCAGAAATTTTGAGAATGGTGGTAACAGGGAGTGAATGTATCCCTGTTAGATTTGCGGAAAGCTTCTCTATGGATACATGTTGACAAGGCATTGTGGTCCTTTCAAACCGTGCTGATCAAGGGCAAGAGGTATTGCCTTATGCAATTAGGATTTGGCTTAAATTTTGCACCTTTCATTATGAAAGCTATCATAGACTTAGTCATGTCCCAGAACGTGTCAATCAAAAAGGTCACATCAGCTTATATAGACGACATTTGTCAACGAAGCTTTGGTTTCTACAGCATGGGTGAGGCACCATCTATCCAATTATGAACTTAATTGCAAAAATGCAGAGAAACCAGAAGACCAGGTTTTGAACTGAAAGTTTTCTCTTGTTGTGTATAACCCATTTTTCATCAAGTTATAATATATTTAGGGTGATACATTTACTGAGGAGGATCTAGTCACCATTACAATTGGTTCCCAACAGAAATTACTTATGAAACAATGTAATATTATTTATCATCCTAAAATTACAGCTGACACACAAACTTCACAAATGTGGAGTGAATATGAAAATGTTTCTATAGAATAAACAGAAAACTAGATCCCCTCCCCCAAAAGTTTATAGAAAACAATAAGAAATTGAATATGACATTTGTCACTTAAATGATCAAATGTTAAATGTTTCTTTGGGATTTTTTTTTTTAAATCTTGAAATTTATTAGAAAAACTTCCCCATAAAAACTTTTTATTATTTCTACTTTTTGGATTCAGTGAACCTATATATAAACAATGCAACATAAGATATGGTAATGCAAGCAGTTTATCCGAGCTGATTGATTCTAGAAGTCTTGAAATGAGCCTGAAAGTCACAAAATATGATATCAAGAGACCAGATGTCAGCTGAAAATGCTATAAGGGGTGAAGAAAATATCTTGGCCTAACTCACCTAAAATCTGACCAAATGACCACATATCAAAAATTTATTTTTGGGAGGTGCTTCTTAGTTGGGCCTTCATGAACTTTCCAGTGACCACATGTATGTTTAGAAGTTTAAAGGTGAATGAGTGAGTGAGTGAGTGAGTGAGTGAGTGAGTGAGAGTGAGAGAAAGTGAAAGTGAGAGAGAGTGAGAGAGAGAGAGAGAGAAGTATAAGTTAAACCATATGTCGGCAAATGTTGCAAAGGCTCAGATTTTCTTCTGAACTTATATAGAAGAGTCAAACATATGAACACACAGACACAGGCGTTTGCATCTGTTTGGTGGGGGATCAGCTGATATACATGATCTTTGTATGTGTAGAGTGTGGAGGGGGAGACATTATAAAGAAACTGACTATTTGATGTCTACAAAGTACTTGAAGTAAATGCAGGTAGGACAGAACACCTTTAAAAGAAAACAAGATACTCCCACCCAATCTAGAAACAGTATTAATTTCAGGTGATTGATATTTGTTTCAATATAGTAACAGGAAGTGACCATGAGATATGGCAGGAAGCACTTGTTGAATCTAACAGAGATGAAGGCAATTAACAAAATGGTAAAAGCAAAAAGAATAAAAAGGTGCAAAAACAAATTGAATAGAATTTAAAAGGTTAAAACTAAAAAAAAAAATCATATTCACAGCATTTTGGCCATTGTACACTCTGGCCTTCTTCAGGGTCTGTCTATATTTCCGAGATGAGGTTTTGTAATTATTTATACTATTTACATCGTTCGGATTGTTGCCCTCGTCTTTGTCATATTCCCAACATTTCAACATTGTACACTCCTGTCTTCAAGTGATATACATTGGAATTTCAAAACTTTATTTATAGAGGTAGATTGTTCTAGTTCCACGTGTCATACCATTTCTAGATATCTCCATTTCAGTTATCCCCCTTTTAGTAAACCAAGTCTCCAAGTTTCAACTCTTTGGGTCTATTTCTCCTCGTATTACCTCTTTATGATGTTCTTGCAGTCTTACCTTAAGGGGCGGCTTGTTTCTCCATTATATTTCTTACCATAGCTGCACAGGATGGTGTACACACAGCCCTTAGTCATGTTCTCCTCTATGAGGGATGGGTCTTACTTGGAAAAGGTGTTTGAAAAGTGTTGAATCACTTTTGAATGTTCAACACTGATGTTATATGGACCATAGATCTTTTGCATTTTCTCCGATAATCCCTTCATCTAAGGTAGGCAGATTGAAGAGGTTTTCTGAGTGCCGTTATCCTCTTGTACACTTCTATCACATTTTGTCAGAGCTGTTGCCATGTAACCAGGGTAGTTGTTACATTGTAGGATACTGATTATACTGACCATTTCTTGTTCATATGTCTCTGAATCACCACTTAAGACTTTTGTTTGATGTTATAAGCAGTGGACAATCTCTTTACACTGTATGGATGGTGTTGAGGTATTGTCTGGTGAATGCAGGCTTGTGGTATACGGATATCTTGACCCCATGCTCTGTTAGAAATATTAGTACATCCAGGTAGGCAAGTTTGTTGTTGTTATCTCTCTCCATTGTGAACTATATTGATCATCATATAGAGTTTACATGGTCTAGTAGTTGCCGGACCTCTTCCTGCTGTGGCTAGTGTCATGAAGGTGTCCCGGTGGACAAAAAAGGGTTTGGTTCAAAATTTCAATCACCTGAAGAAGGCTAGAGCATACAACAGCCAAAACGTTGTGAATATAGAAATCAAGATGAGTGTAGCAGTTAGAATAATATAAGTAGGAAAGTTTCTGCTCATTCAATTTTACTTCTTTTTTTTTTCTTTATTTTCAATACAAAGAATTCCAAAAAGCAAGCAAGAAATATTTTTAAAACAAAAGATATTGCATAATTCAAAGTTTAATTGAGTTCTTTCACCCTCCTGCTAAAAAGTCAATGCATAAAATAAGTTATAATAAGTTAAAGTAAAATAAAAGAATGATGAAGTAGTGATAATATCAGTGGACAGCAATAAGAGGAAACAAAACAAAAAAAAACTTCTAAATACTAAAATACCACCATACTATTTTTTTTCTCTACCATCTAGAATTTCAGGAGTCATTCCATACATAATGAGTTTGAATGAAAGATTTAATATATTTAATAAATCCTACCTATGATATCACATAAACCTCTAACAATAAAGATGGCTAAAATTTTGAAAAAATTTCATAATCTTGATACATCTCATATTTAGACACCAACAATTTAATAATTCTTTTTTTTTTTTCAGCTTTTCTACTGCATTATGTAAAAAGTAAAGTAATCAAATAATCGAATCAAGCAGAAAAGACGAGAAAAAAAGACATTTGTCACAAAGAATATCTTCAGTGAGAAAAAAAAAATTTTTCTTCATTAGAATTAAATTCATAATTGAATAAACCACGTAACTATATATATATATATTACTAGACTTAAAAAGGAAACATTCTGTTACTAAGTGCTTTGTTTCTATGCAAAATTTCCACACCTCTTGCTTATAATATGTAATGACAATGCAAGTACATATCTTGTGTATACAGCGTATCATCTTTGTACAAGTCATATGGTATTGATTATTCAGTATAAGTGAAAGTAGTATCCAATTCATTTACAACAGCTAAAAATAGGAAAAAAAAGATGTCCATAATTATTCAGGAAGAGACAGTGGCTAGCAGAAACAAGTTAGATGGATGCACAAGATCGCTAGGTTCGTTGATGCCTTGGTACTGTAATTAGCCAATGTTGAGAATAGTAGCTCTACAAGAAAAAATAAATTATTAGTTAAATAATAAATAAGTAAAACCTTTGTACTATACTCAATGTAATTATGGGACAGCAGTCACAGTTGGTTTTCTTCTTAAATTGGTCATCTAAATTTTATTTGGTACTCAATATTTTAAAATTAGCTCATTAATATTTGTATTAAACATTTTAAGCAAACCTGTTCATTTTATTACCTTATTTTCTTAACTTATTAATTTTTACATTTTTTTTTTATGATGCAATAGTTGTTTTTGCTATTCAACCTGTTCTTCAGTTTTTAAGGTCACATCATATTGAAGCACTGGCTCCTGTATGATCACCGAAGTTAAACAACATTGAGCCTGGTCAGTTCCTAGATGGGTGACCAACTGGGAATACTAGGTGTTGAAAGCTTGGATATGTGGTTGGTGCAATGGATAATGGCCCAAAATTGTTAAATGAAGAGCTGAGTTCCAATTCCAGTTGGGTTTATTATATTGACTTACAAGCAAATGCCCTTTAATTAGTAAGATTTGTATTATTAAACCATTATTATCTAATTAAAACAAAATATTCTTACCTTCTAAAAATATGTTTAGACTTTAAATAACCTGTAAAGGGCTGATAAGCTCTAGAAATTGAATCAATCTTGTTAAATTAAAATGTAGAAATTTAGAAGAAATAACTTCAGAGAAGACTAACAATCTCCAACCTGATAAACAGATCTTGGAAGATTGATAATTTAAAACAAAGTGGTCATGGTTAGGCAAGGTTCCAAGTATTTCTATTGCTGTCTCTTCGGACTTCATTGTTTGTGAAAGTTGACCTCCCTAAGTAGAGGATACAAGTCCAAAGCACTGTTTATTTTATTCTATATTCTCAATTTAATTTTATGATTAAAATACTCTTATTAATACCAGTTTCACTAAGTATTAATCAGAAAATTAATAATGAAAATAATCTTACATTCAAAACAAGGTAAAGTACTTATATTGAGATATTAGTATTTAACAATTATTTTTGAAAATTTATTGTACATATGTTTAAAAAGGAAAAAATTAAAGTGATTTTCCTCCTTCAGCCTACATGAAATTTCACCATTTTGTAATTGAAGTTCATAAAAAGCAGGGGAGGTAAATGCTGACATTAGAAGCAATAAACCAATTATTGATACAAAAGGATGTAGGGAAGGGGGAGTTCACATTCCCAGTCCCTACTACAATTCCATTTTTTTTTTTTTTTTTTTTACTGATTTCGAAACATTTTACAAAACGTTTGTTTTTTGGGGGAGAAAGAGGAGAGGGAGAGGCAGAAGGAGAGAAAAAATGCTTCCACTCCAAGTAATACAATTATATACATTCACTAAAAAAAAAAAAAAAAAAAAAAAAATTTTTTTAAATTTTTAGGAGTGTTAATATTAGTTTTTTCATCTTTTCCAAAAAAAAAAAAAAAAAAAAAAAAAAAAAAGTAGCTGCAAAGATAATAGTCAAGTAAATGTATTGAATGCTCAACACAATTACAGCCGGATGGTAGGGAATGAAGAAGAAAAGAGAATCATACCTGTTCATTATTCATGTATTCTTCAACATCACTACTGCCTTGTCTATAAATGATTTGACGGTAACCTAATATATGGGCGAAGGTTATCCATCTTATGCCTGCCTACCTGTCTGTTACGAGTAGACATTCCAGGTAAACTAATTATCTGTCTGGGTAACATTGTGCAATGTTCCCACGATTTGGGTACCTCTTGAAAGTTTCATGTAAGTATATGTCAAGATGATGGTAAACATACCAAACTGGATGCTATCAAGAGACTTTGGTAACAGTAGCCACTGCTTCAATCAGTATGGGGGTGAGGTAGAGAGCAATTCTTCTGTACTTTCTGATTTGGTTATACCTTTATTAATTTTACAAAAGAACAACTATTGATACCATGAGATGATGCATCACAGATGTACAAGACTGACAGTAAAAAGGAAGTGTGGATTTTTTTTAGTTTTCTTACTTGAAATTTAAGAAGTTTTTTGAGGATTTTTTTTTTCCAGTGATGGTCACCCTGTATAAGGCCCATGAGCCACTCAAGGTAGAAGGTTACTGAGTAAAATTCACAGTTTGTGTGTAGAGAAAATAATGGTTAACGAGAAAGAGAAGGCGAGTGAGAAAGAGAAGGCAAGGGAGAGGCAGAAGTAGAGAAAAAATGCTTCCACCCGAAGTAGTACAATTATATTCATTCATTTAAAAAAAAAAAATAATAAATAAATAAACTGCAAAGATAAACAGGTTAAGAGTGTAGTGACCAGGAAAGCATCCTCTTGGGAGTCAGTTCCACAAGAAAGTGGTTTGTGGGAAGCTGTTCCAGTGGAACATATCGCACCAATAGAAGACAAAGGAAATAAGGGTGGTTCACTACAATGTGTGTGGCATGGTGGGTGTTAGCCATAAAGGTTAGGACTGGTGGAACTAAAAATGTAGTTCATCTGGACACTTTTCATGGAAATAGTGATGGAGCACTGAAAGGCTTGAAGACTGGAAAATGAAAACTAGGCAGTTCCTGCACATATATGGCAACAGTAATCCATTTTCGGTCTGATCTGGCTCTTGTAAAGGTAGAGGATGGCAGGCAGAGTCAGGTACTTACTAGAATTGGACAGGGAACCAACCATTCTTCCAGCATCTTTACCACAGTCAGCAAAATAAAGGGTTCAGTTCGACATTCCAACAACCTGATGAAAGCCGGAGCGTACAACGGCCGAAACATTGTAATAAATATGGCGACAAAGATTATGACAACAATCAGTATAATGTAAATAGTGTACATAATACCTCATTTCAGAAATATAGACAGATAGCATCTTTAATGATGAATCATATGTATGAATTGCACTCGAGTTCTGGGCAGAGTTTAAATCCCAGTAGGCATTCAAGGCTTGAGAGAACACCTGTTCATTGTGATAAGTGAAAATTCATGGTCTTAATACAACATAAAGTCAAATAGAGATAAAAAAAAGATTGTGTTGCGCCAATCTTCCAAGAAGGGGAGCCTGCCTCTGACTTTAAAAATCTGCATTTGAAACACAGACTTGAACACTAACCTCTTGCAGGAGTGTAAATATGCAAGTAGTCAAGCCTTACAAGGAAAGTCCTATAATTATTCTTCCAACTCCTGGTTGGTAGAACTATTAAATAGTCATCAATTTCTATCTAACAGGGAAAAATGAGTGTTAACTTTGATAACTAACTTAGTATATTATACTATAAGTACAATATACTATTAAATAGATGATTTAAAAAAGAAAAATAAACTTGTTTGGGAATAAGATTAATTTCAATAAATATAGAGGAGTATAAATAACATTAAAATATTAAGAAAATTAAGTATGCTTTTTCTCACTTGGTTAATCAATTATTTTTCGTTTAAATTTTTTTTTTTTTTTTTTTTTTAAATCAGGCTAACTTTCACACATATGTGCATTATGATGCTGATCTGGGATTTCTTAATTACAGTTTTTCTAATGTCATTTGCTGAGGATAAAATTGCAAATCTATGAAAACTTTCAATAGAATATGGAGGATAAATCAGTAAACAAGAAATGAAGACTTGTCAAATTCTTAGTGACTTCAATATTGCTAGGCTAAGGAGGCTTTCTTACTTTATGTTCATAGTAACATAATAGTTTGACAATACTAGATAGTAATTATTTTTTTTTTATACTAATGTTTACAAAATACAGGGACCAAGAGCCATGCAAGGTAGAGGGTTACTGTGTGTAGTTATATTAACATAGGAAAAGAAACATTGGGAGCATAGAGCTGAAATAGACTTTAGAAGAAACCAGAAACCTAAACAGGAAGCAAGGAATAAACCTCTACACCTATTCAAAAGACCAGGGAGGACTTTCTGGATAGATTGATAAGACTGACTTAATTTGAATAATGGTCTTTAAAAGTGAATTTAGTACTTTTATACACAGATGCATGTAATGCAACATACATAGAAATTCCAAAGAATATCAAACAAAATCATTGAAAGTAAATATTTAAAAAAAAAAAAAAAAAAAAAAAAAAAATTTCAGTATTAGAATCATTCTGGCAGTAAATCATAATTGCTTCCTGAAGCACAAATGAAACTTTCTCAAATGGGGGGGGAGAGAAAAATTACTAAATCTTTCCTGAATTTTTAATAAATTCTTGGAATGATGTTAGCTTTCAAGATTATTTTAATTCTTGACATTATTTTTTTTTTTTCAAAGGAAATACATGCAATTTAAGACAGCAGCATTGTAACAAAATTCTATTGGATATCTGACATTTTGAAGATGCAATCAATTTGTACAAACGTAAAATGTAAACTTGTCTTTCCATGTATATTTGAGAGAATTGGAAATGGGGAGGGGGATGATAAAAAAAAAAGAAAATTAGTTTTAGTCAATACAAATTGTCAGCAATTCGATATTTTGTCTGAAAAAGAGAAGCTAAGAGTGTGATAGGAAAAAAATGTACAGAACCTTCTAATATTTACTTTGATTCCCAGAATAGAATAAAATACAAGAATAATGAAAATGCAAAAAAGGCAGGAGAAATGAAACTAAGTTAGGCATTGCCAATTGAGAAGAAAACTTTTTCATTTTAACTTTTAAAGTGCTCTTTTGAATTTGGAGGGCTGCCTCTTTTTCTTACTATAAGAATGAAGTTTTATTTATTCGGGGGGGGTTTATTTATTTGCATCCATGAGCTTTTAGAGTGGCCCAAATCAAATATCTATTGTATGTTGACATTGTAATGAAGACTGACACTTGAATAGGTAAGCACACATACAAACAGGTTCTTTACACTTCACAAACAATCATTTATGTGACAACAGAAACAAGGGCAAGCCTACAAAATTCTGAAAGTCTTTTTTGTGGTGGTAGGAGTTTTATGAAGTCAAGAATTGTTTTTTTCGTCAGGTTTAGGAGTGGGAGGAGAAATTGCATTATTTATAAAAACATTGTAACCAGGATGCTGATAATGGTGATTTTAATGAATAAATGCTTTAAGGAGAATGCACATTTTTCTTTAATAAAATTTCTCAAATATCCAGGCTGCTAAACAAAAACAAATATATGTTTAATAAAGCAACTGCGGCTCAAATATGATTATCAACTAAAGATAATGTTCAATGTGGTAAAATTCATTACTTTAGAAATTGTTCTGTTTACATTTGGATACGAAACTGAGAAGATAGGAAATTTCCAAGAGTGTATGACAAGGAGGATTTCACTTAATGACTAGTGGATTAAAGCGTTGGGTTTTGAATTTGGTAGTTGTAAGTTCAATTCCTGAATTGGGTAGTTTGTACTTGAACTCTATGGAAACTGGCAAGAAGTAACTGAGCAATACTAAAAAAATAATAACGAGATGAGATATCC